GGTAGACCTCTGTGGCAGAAACTTTCCAACACCACAGCAGAAGAAGCAGGACTGGTTGCTGTGTGAGGCCTCCCAGATCTTCCCTTGTGCACATCACACACAGTACCATGCATCTCAAGCTCATCACGAAAGCGTGCATTTGTAGGGCGTGTTGGAGGTTCTGTTGCATACTTGTGCATCTGTTGTGGTACTTCCACAGCATTCTCGAATTTCAGGTACCACTTCAGAATGGTCTTGCGCTCCTCGAACACCATTTTCATTGCCCTGCCTGCCCCATGGTGACACTGGCATTCATTTGATTCACACCATCTTTTGAGTGAACTACACGTAGCTGCTGTAATTCAATTCACCTTTGAGAAGTAATACATACATAGCATCTCTTGAAATGTCTGTGTGTTTTGGGTTTTTTTTGGCACCCTGCTATGCCTCCACTGAGTTTGCAGGATGGGACAGTCATCCAGCTCACGGTAGCATCAAGTTTTCTAAACTTATAATTATCACTTGAGTGCTAAATTTTATCTTTGGCAGCAAATGCTATCAGTTTACCTTGAAGTGACAGGCTTACTTGATTAATTTTCAAGAAAATATCTGCAGTTACCAAGTCTGAATAAGCAGCTTTTTCGTTGTTCTTTCCAGAACTGGAGTGGCGGTGGTGGCAGCAGCGAGTGGGCACCCACCAGCCCAGGGCTTCTGGCATTCTTCCTGTTTCCTGCCCAGAATCCCAAAGGGTAGAGTACTCAGGGGTCCAGCCGTGATACAGTTGATCTCTACCCTTTCCTTACGATGTCCTTAGGAGACTGGCCTTGTGTTCTGAGCAGTCTCCTCCTGAAACAGACTTCAGCATGCTCCTCCTCTGTCTAGCCAGGCAGCTGAGAATGCTGGCAGATGGGGGACGGGGTCCATTTTCAGCTCCAGGGCAGTTCTCGCCAGGGTGTCTGTCTGCCAGCACTTGCCTCTCCCTGTTTCCCAGGCCCTGTCCAATACTTGACATTGCCAGGCTTTGTGAGTTTCACCGGTCAAACAAGTCAGGCTATTTAATCAAGTCTGTGCTGCTGATTTGCTGTGCTTAGACCTTGTTGTTTAATAGAAGCTGTTATTACATTTGTCCATTCTGTTTCTCCATTGCTCTGTTGAGGTCTGTATTATGTGGTCATCCTACTACAATTGCTAGAATTATTTATGTGCATTTTTTTTTTGAGTTGGAGTCTCACTCTGTCACCCAGGCTGGAGTACAGTGGTACATTCATGGCTACTGCAGACTCAACCTGCTGGGCTCAGGTGATACTTTCATCTCAGCCTTCCAAGTAGTTGGAACTACAGGCACACACCACCACATCTAGCTAGTTTTTGTGATTTATGGTAGAGATGAGGTCTCACCAAGTTGCCCAGGCTGGTCTCGAACCACTGGGCTCAGGCAGTCCTCTCACCTCCGCCTCCCAAAATGCTGGGATTACAGGCGTGAGCCACTGCTCCTGGCCTATGTGCATATTTTAAGCTGGTTGTATTTCGTTTAAATCATCAGCCAGAAAGAAGCAATATTTTTACATAAAAGGAACATTATTTAGGATAAACTTAATGTAAGTATCTCTCAACATTCAGACAGTTTGAAGCTTAATTGTAGAAGACATGTGGGTTCTGCTTAATGACTTCTATGGGAACAAGTCTAAGGAGCTTAACTGGAAAACTCAGACCTTTACTGCTTTTCTTGTGTCTCTAGACTCGCCTTCCTTCCTAGATCTGGGGTCCGTCATGTCCCTGACAGTTCTTCCCATGAGCCTCTGAGAGCAGAGAGTGACCAGGACCAACCCAACCTCTGCTTCTTCTTCCCTTTATGTTAAAGCCAGTGGACTCGTTAACTTAGTGACATGATTGCATGGTTTGAAACACTGAACCTAAGTATTTCTTTGTTAAGAAGGAATTTGAAACCAGGACCTGACAATCTAGAGGCCACTGAATGTCATGGAGAGAACATAGGGTAGAGAGCTGGGCCCTGCTGCTGACTTTGTCATCTAGCATGATAGTTGTATGAGGCTAAATTAACTTAATGATCACTCAAGTATATTAAACAGGACATCAGGCTGGGTGTGTTGTCTCGTGCCTGTAATCCTAGCACTTTGGAAGGCCAAAGCAGGAGGATTGCTTGAGCCTAGGAGTTCAAGATCAGCCTAGGCAACATAGAGAGACTTTGTCTTTACAAAAAATAAAAAAATTATTGTAATGGCACGAGCCTGTAGTCCCACCTATTTAGGAGGCTGAGGCAGGAGAATCACTGGAACCCAGGAGGCCAAGGCTGTGGTGAGCCGTACCACTGCACTCCAGCCTGAGTGACAGAGTAAGACCTCAATTTAAAAAAAACACAAAAAACAGCCATCAAATATGGAACAAAGAACTTCAATATGTTCATAATCGTTGGTATTTGATTTAGTAATTTCATTTCTAGAATTTTATCCTAAGGAAAAATTAGATTTGTTGAAAGACTAATGTATACAAATGTTTGCTACTATCTTAATTTACAGTGTAACATTTGAAGTAATCTACTGTAGGAGACTGGTGACATGTAGATATCTACAGGAGGCTCTGTCATTCAGCTGTTGAAACTCATGTGTGTGTGTATATATATATATACATATATATATATATATATATATATATGTTAATATATTTATTTATTTATTTATTTGGAGTCTCACTCTGTCACCCAGGCTGGAGTGCAGTGGCATGCTCACAGCCACTGCAGCCTCCACCTGCTCAGGTGATCCTTTCGTCTCAGCCTTCCAAGTAGCTGGAACTACAGACACGTGCTACCACACCCAGCTAATTTTTTTTTTTAATTGTAGAGATGAGGTCTCACCAAGTTGCCCAGGCTGGTCTCAAACCAGTGGGCTCAGGCAGTCTTCTCATCTCAGCCTCCCACAGTGCTGGGATTATAGATGTGAGCCACCGTGCCCGGCCCGAAAATCATATTTTTGAAAATGGCTTCATGGTATGGGAAAATGTTCATCAGTTATAAAAGGTGGATGATAAACTCATATGTTGAGTATGATCCCCATTTGATTTTTTAAGACATGCGTGTGTGCATGTACACCTGTATACGTACACTTGCATGTGTGCACACATGTGTATATGTGTGTCTAGGCCTGGTGTCTGGGCTGTGTCTGCAAATGTTGTTGAGGTTTGTCTGAATACAGGATAAATGATGGTGTTGTCGAGATATGTTTATCTGCAGAGGCTCAGAGGCTTCTTAGGAAAGAGTGTATCCCGGAGGAAGAACGGATTAGGGCCATCAGGATGATGAGCTGACTTGCTAGCACCCTGGGCGGTCTGGGAGAAGGACCACGCTAAACATGCATGCAGGCCTGGCTCTTTGGGCCCTCTCAGATGTGTATATCAGACCCCTGTAGGTTTCAGGCCTGACCATGTGTAGAGTCCTGACTGGCAGTGTGCGGCCTGGGACCTCTCTGATGGCAGGAAGTAGAGCAGGGGGAAGGTGTGTGCCCTCTTGAAGCGCAAGGGTTTAGGGCTAGGGAAGGCGAGTGCTGCCCTCAGGGGCCACTTCCAGACTCCCACAGACTGAAGGACCTGGCAGGCCAGTGGGGTGAGCACTACTAGCCGGCCCACACAGGCCATCACTGTCCCTGTGGCCTTGCCATCCTCCTGGGGGGGGGCGCCTTGGGGAAATTGAGGCTTACCTTCATGTGGACACAAGCCTGGTGAGGGGCGTTAACTCTGGAGTAAAACTGTAGGTTATTCGAAAGGTCTTCATGCTTTTCTTTATTTTTCAAAATTTTGGTGACAGTTTTTATAATCAGGAAAAAAAGTAGCTTTCTCTGCGGAATCACCATGGCGGCTGGGACCCTGTACACATATCCTGAAAACTGGAGGGCCTTCAAGGCCCTCATTGCTGCTCAGTACAGCAGGCTCAGATCCATGTGCTCTCTGCGTCACCCCACTTCCACTTTGGCCTAACGAACTGCACCCCTGAATTTCTCCACAAATTTCCTGCCGGCAAGGTTCCAGCATTTGAGGGAAACTGGATCCTGGCAGCGAGGAGGCCCAGATACTGGTGCGAGAGTACTTTTCCTGGGAGGGGACCTTCCAGCATGTGGGCAAAGCCTTCAATCAGGGCAAGATATTCAAGTGAACTTCTCTTGCTATCGCCTAGCTGCCTGCACCTGCCATTCAGTGAGATGGGGGTCATTAAAGGAAAATGAACATTGAAGCTTTTCCTGTCCTGCCTCCTTTGTGAGTGGTGGCTTCTTCAAAGGGGAGTGAGTAGATATGTTGAAGCAGGGCGTTTCCTATGTCTGCAGGAAAGAAGATTTCAGAAGACAGCAATTGAAAAAAAAAGAAAAAGAAAAAGAAAAAAAAGTAGCTGCTTCAAGTCCTATTCCACTTAGACACTGGAACAAAGTAGTTCAGTCTTCGTTGCACAGAGCTGAGAGCAGTGGCCTGTTCCGGATAACTAGAGGGCAGGTGTGCTGTGCTATTAACACCCTCGAGCTGCCAGGTATGAAGGTGGTCAAGCAGGACAAGCCCAGCAGAGGGTCACGGGCCAGCCTCCGTTCAGGGCAGCAACTAGGCAAGAGGCCAGCACGGGGTGACATCCTCCCATGTCTTCCAAGGACAGCACCAGGGAGGGCCAGTGACATACAGCAGAGATGGGGAGAATGGTGTCACTGCCTGAAACCCACGCAGAAGCATTCTGCCTCTTTCAGGACTGGGAGAGGAGCAGGGCAAGGAGGAGGAAGGGCCCTGAGTCAGAGGGGAGGAAATACCCGCCTAGGCCTGATCAGGAGTGGTGCCTGGCAAGGGGTGAGGGCTGGAGCCCACCACAGGGGGACAGGCTTTGGTGGGGAGGGCCGTCCAGGGGCCTGTCAGGCAGTGGTCACAGGCCCCAGATGTGGCCTGGAGCCGGACTCCTGGGGTGTCTGTCTGGTCCTGTGGACCTGGCATGAAGGCAAAAAGCCAGGACTTCTCTCCCACCCTCGCGGCCCTGCTCACGCTATGCTTCCCCACAGCCACCCGTGGGACACGGTCATCCAGGCAGCCATGAGGAAGTACCCGAACCCGATGAACCCGTGCGTGGTGGGCGTGGACGTGCTGCAGCGCCGCGTGGACTGCCGGGGCCGGCTGCACAGTCTGCGACTGCTCAGCACCGAGTGGGGGCTGCCCAGCCTTGTGAGAGCGGTGAGCCCCGCCCGGTTGTCCCTGCCACCCCTCCCCAGCGCAGCCCCTTCCCCGGCCTCCGTCTGGGCCCCGGGGCCTCCATCTGGCCCTGGTGCAGAGGCAGAAGGCTCTTGCTGTGAGTCACGCACATCCCGGGCCTGGGTGTCCTGATCTCTCCTCTCATCAGAACACCGGTCAGCCTGGATTAGCGCCCACCCAGATGGCCTGCTTTTTACCTAATTGCCTCTTGAAAGGCCTGGCGCCCACATCCTGTCACATTCTGAGGCACTGGAGGCCAGGGCTTCAACAAGTGGACTCCCCAGAGCCCACAGGGAGTCACCAAAGATGTGAATCTGAGCATGACTCTTCCCGGCCTAGACGCACCCTTGATTTCCCCTCCTCGTACAGTCCGTGTCCTTACTGGTCACAGGCCCTGGTGGTCTCACCTGTCCCTTCTGGGCAGCAGCCATCCCCCATCCCACCCTCTCTGCCACCCCTACTTCTTGCCTTCCCGGAACCCAGCACCAGGCTCCTGCTACAAGACCTGCCCGTCCAGCCTGGGCCCTCACCCCAGAACTCTGGCACCTACCCTTTGGGGTCTCTGCTCAGATCCCACCCAGCAGAGGGGTCTTCCCACTGCCCTGTCTGAAGTAGGACTCCCCACACACTGCTTTATTTTGGGTCCGGGCACTTATCACTGCCCTACAGGCCACTCTGAATCCATTTCTTGGTTTGGTATCTCTCACCTGGAATGGAAGTGCCCTGAAGACAGCAGTTTTTTTGTTTGTTTTTTTGAGTTGGAGTCTCATTCTGTTGCCCAGACTGGAGTGCAGTGGCCGCTCCCGGCCACTGCAGCCTCGACCTGCTGGGCTCCGGCGATCCTTCCACCTCAGCCTTCCGAGTAGCCGGAATTACAGGCATGTGCTACCATGCCCGGCTGATTTTTTGATTTATTGTAGAGATGAGGTCTCGCCGGCCCAGGCAGGTCTCGAACCCGTGGGCTCAGGCAATCCACTCACTTTAGCTTCCCAAAGGCACGGGATTACAGGCTGAGCCACCGAGTCCGGCTAAGACAGTGGTTTTGTCTCTCTGCCCCTGGCATCCCAGAGATGAATTAATTAGTAAATAAAATAAATGAGTAAATGAAATGGTATTCTGTGATGATATGAAACATTATTGTTAACGCTACACTAGTTTTGCTTTGCTTTTTAGATTTTGGGAACCAGCAGGACTTTGACGTACATACGGGAGCATTCTGTTGTGGATCCAGTGGGGAAGAAAATGGAGCTTTGTTCCACCAATGTAAGCAATGGCCTAAGACGAGTGCATGCTTGATATTTCTTGGTGATGGCGCATCATGCCTTCAGTTAATTTTATTTCCAGCCCACCTGTGGTCTGTGATTGTTTATTTTTGATAGGAAGGCTGAATTTATTTAGCAGTATTTTATTTATCTTTTATTCAAGTATAATACTTACATAGAAAGATGCAAATAATGATGAACTGTCACAAAGTGAACATACCTTGTGACCAACAGGCAGATCAAGCAGCAGACTGTGACCAGCCCCCATGGGCCCTCTTTGTGTGGGCTGTCCAACCAACAGTCATTTTTACTTTATTTTTACTTTTTGTTATATATTTTGAGTCGGACTCTTACTCTGTTGTCCAGGCCAGAGTGCAGTGGCACGTTCACGGCCACCGCAACCTCAACCTCTGGGCTCAGGTGCTTCTTCTGCCTCAGCCTTCTGAGTAACTGGAATTACAGGTGCACGCCACCATGCCTGGCCAAATTTTTGATTTATTGTAGAGATAAGGTCTCACCATGTTGCCCAGGCTGGTCTTGAACCCGTGGGGTCAGGCAGTCTTCTCACCTCGACCTCTCAAAGTGGTGAGATTACAGACTGAGCCACCGCGCCCAACCTGTTATAATTTTTTTAAGAGACAAAGTCTCGCTCTGCTGCTGAGGCTGGAGTGCAGTGGCACAGTCACAGCTCAGCAGCCTCGAACTCCTGGGCTCCAGTGATCCTCCCACCTGACAGTCATTTTTAAAACTGCCTTCCCCCTTCACTCCTCTCTCACTTCTCTCAAAAACATGTAGGGCAAGCCCCTCGGGTACCCTTCCACTGTGAGAGCTTTTCTGTCCTCTTATAAATCCTGCTTTAAAAAACAAAAACAAAATAAAAAAAGTATACTGGCCTAATGCAAGTTCAGAGAGCATGTTGAGGGAAACGTGTGGCCTAGGAAAATGGTTCATTTCGTAAGATCCTACTTGTTTTCAGCAATATAGATGTGGGCCGCAGGGGTGAGACGATGGCAGTGCCTGGGTTCCCCCCACCTTCTCTGTCCCCGCGCCACCCTGTTGGCTCAAGTCATCGCCCACCTAGTGGTCCATCAGTATAGGGTATCAGGTGACTGCCAGGTGCTGGCATCGTGCTGGGGTGGGGAATGAAGAAGTAAAAGCTATGTTGGCCCTTGCTGGCTTTCTCATCCCCGGGTGGACATCTAAACAACTCATGTAGGCGGTGGTGTGTAAACCATGAAGCCATGACGCCACTGTGTGAGCACTTCACAGAGGCACTGACAAATGGGCTAGGACTTAAGGGCTGGCAGTAGGCACCCTTGAACTTTAGAGAGCTACGGGTGACATTGGAGATTAAGAGGGGAAGGTGGTGTGGGAGAGATGAGACTGGAGGGGCAGAGGCCAAACTGCAGAAGGCAGAGGAGTTAGAAGTCTGGTGTGTGGTAATAGGGAGCCATCGAAAGTTGGTTGCAGCAAGGTGATGTAATCGGGTCGTGTCTTGGGCAGATTGCCCTGGTAGCTTTGTGGAGAGAACAGGAGATGTTGGGGCCTGGGCCGTGAGACCAGTCGTTGAGATGAGAGGTGGGGGGAGGCTGCCGGGGACAGGGCGTTGAGAGAAGGGGAACGGAAGGGTTCGGGGTGCAACAACTGTGCTCTCTGGTTTGGGTACCAGCTCAGTGGTGGGCCAGTCATGGGGCCGGGTCTGAGGAGACAGAGAGGATTTTGGTTTGGGGCATCCTGAGTATGAAGTCTGCAGGGACTCTGCACAGTGGGTGGGGGAGTATCCAGGTCTGAAGCTGAGAGTGCGGGCCGGGGTGCTGCGATGAGGGAGGGAGTGACCTGGGCCCATCCGTGGGCAGACAGGGGCTGGCGGGCTGCAGTGGATGGAGACAGAGCTGAGTAGCACTAGGGGAGTTTCCCATCCTCTCGGCATCTTTGGAGACCTCTGAGTTTGGAGCTGTTAGGGGTCCGTGAGATTACTAATTCCAGCCTCAAAGGGTGTCTTGGGAGCACCTTTGGATTCCTAAGGAGGTGTGAGAGCAGCCTCTGGATTGCCTCTGTGCTGGCAGCCACCCCCTGCCCAGCCAGGAAGGTCTTCCATAGCAGGTAGTGGAGTGTGTGCTCGTGTGCTGGGAGATGAGCCTCCGAACCCTCATAGGGTAAGGCCCCAACTCCCTGATATACCACCTGGGCCTTTGCCAACCTCCCTGTTCCGTTGGCTCCCTTGCCCCAGGCATTCCTTGCACGTGAAGTCACAGGAACCTGTGGGGGGTCCCTATCGGTTAGTCCCCTCTTGCCATTCCTGCAAGTTTATGTATTTGCTTTACCCCAGAAAGTCCTTATCTATGTGGGAAATTCCACTGCACCCTTCAGAAAGCTCTGTGGTCAGTGAAGAGGGACAGCTTATGCTAGAGTGAGGGCTAGTGGAAAAGAAACAGGACTTCGAGCAGGACAGACGTGAGTGTCCATCCTAAATGATCACTGGCTGACTGTGAGACTGAGGATGTCGTTTTCTAAGGCTCACATTTCTTGTGTAAGAAAGGAAAGAACCACCCTCAGAGGATGGCTAGGAAGATTAATGAAGGGAAATAAGATTTTGAAAACACAGTGAGCCGGGCACGGTGGCTCAAGCCTGTCATCCCAGCACTTTGGGAGGCCGAGGCGAGAGGATTGCCTGAGCCCGTGGGTTCAGGGCCAGCCTGGGCAACCTGGAGAGATCTCATCTCTACAGTAAATCAAAAAACTTATCTGGGCGTGGTAGCTCATGCCTGTAATTCTGGCTACTTGGCAGACTGAGATGAAAGGATTGCCTGAGCTCAGCAGGTCGAGGCTGCAGTGGCCGTGAGCGTGCCACTGCACTCCAGTCTGGGCGACAGAATGAGACTCCAACACAAAAAAAGAAATCACAGTGACTGTCATAAGAATATTGCACATAAAGTGACAACAGCTGATCAGAGCAGAGTTGTGGGTAGGTAGTGTTAAATGTTTCTGCACAGTGTAATACCTGTGCATTTGGGACTCTTGTTGACACCACGCTCGAGGAGGAAAGAGATTTCCTACTAAGCGCTTTCATGAGGACAGTGAGGCCAGTGGAGGTGTCAGGGAGAGAGGGTCACATGAGCAAAAATTGGAGGTTATCACTGCTGAAGGGTTATCTTGCCTTTCACTACTTAGACTTCTTCAAGATGGTCTTTTGTTGCTGTAAAATCTTTTGAGAAGAGGGTAGATCGGATTAAGCAGTGATACTCTCCTGGAGCTCTACCTTCTGGTGTGGCAGCTGCCAGCCACATGCAGCCGTTTACATTTAAATTAAGATTAAATAAAGTAAAAAAAATTTCTGTTCTACTTGAGCCACATTTCAGACGTTCATTAGCTGCATGTGTTTGTAGCCACCACATCTGACAGCACACACACAGGACAATGCTGTTTATTCCAGAAAATTCTGTCGGATAGTGACGTTCTGGAAAGTTTTTGACAGGAAACGTAATTGTAAAGAGTTAGTCTGTTTACAGGGAACAGCACTGGAGGAGATAAGGCCTTTTCATTCTTCCTGTAGATTCAGGGTCCATCCCACCCAGTTCCGGGAGACAGTGCTTCCGGGTCTGCTATGGGGGGGTGGGAAGCTTTCCGCTCACTTATCTGGACACACAAGACAACGTGGTCCTTGCCTGCAACTGCTAATGGCTGTGGCAGCTTGGCAGCACCTTGAGGGCCAGAGCCCTGTGCAGGCTTGGGGTGGGGTGGAGAGAGGGCCCATGACAGTTACCGGAAGGGGTAGCTAAGCCATAGTGTCCCTAGGACTTAGTGGAGTGGCATCTTTCGTGCCTAAAAGTTTCTTCTGTTCTGGCTCCAATAAGTACTAATTTGGAAATGGAAGAGTATGATTTGGGAAGAAATGCAAGACAAATCAAATTTAAAGCTATTGTTTGGGAAGAAATACAAGATAAATCAAATTTAAAGCTATCGTTTCTTTTTTTTTTTTTTTAAGATCACACTCACAAATTTAGTGTCGGTTAATGAGAGGCTGGTGTACACACCCCATCCGGAGAACCCAGACATGTAAGTGTCTCATCCTGGGAGTGACGCGTTGAATGCAGGGGTTGGGGCGGGGCAGAGCCCCTGTCTCGGCCGGCCACCCCTCACTGCCTGCTCTCCTACAGGACGGTGCTCACCCAAGAAGCCATCATCACCGTGAAGGGCATTAGTCTTGGCAGCTACCTGGAAAGTTTAATGGCCAACACAATATCATCCAATGCAAAGAAGGTACATACCTTAGTCCCGGGGCCCTGGGACTGAGCTCTGGTCTCTCGGCGCCAATCGAGGAGGGCAAGACTTTTGGTTCCACAAGTCCTCCTGATTGCTGGCCCCCCATCTCTGCCGCGCTCACAGTGCCACTGTGTTTCCCACGGCTGCATTCCAAACCAGTGGCCGGGAAGAGCTGGCCCAGGTCTGAGGAGATGTGTGACTGTGGGAGCCCCGGGGTCACTCTCCTCGGTATGGAAAGTACGTGGCAAGTCAGGAGCAGAGTCCCAGCCGCCGGCTGCTACCTCTTCAAAGAGCCCAAATTCTGTAGGCTCAGAGGTCAAAGCAAACAGACCTGCAGCATCACAAAGATAAGGTGTGTTACCATGCCCACGCAGAACTCTCAGCCTCTTAGCAGTTTCCTATTTGGTAGGAGTAGGTGGCTTCAGCTGAAGCTCTCCAGCTGCGACGCTTCCCTGCCATCAGCTCTGTCTTTGCACCTCCTCTCTGGCAGAACTTGGGAGTGAGCTTTCTGGAGGTGAGGGGGGAAAGGCTGGATCCCAGGAGGCTTCCATGGCTCCCGCTTCGTGCCAGTCACTGGGCAGAGGCCGATATTGTTCAGGGAGTCTGGGCTGCCGTCCTCCAGCAGAATTGATGGAAAGGGCTTAGCTATAGGGATGGAAGATGCCCTCAAATTCAAGGCGATGTTGTTCTCCAGCTCAGGGCCTTGGCTTTTTTCTCAGCCACCCACTTCACGGGTGCAGGTACTCCCCCATCCATCCTCCCCCCAAGGGGCTCTTCCTCTTCCTCCCTGTCTCTCTCCCACCTTTTGGGGGGTCAGAAGTGAGTCTTTTTGAGATCCGTGGGTTGATGTCCAAGGCTGGGTGTCCTTCCACACTGACGTCTCTGGTGAATGGAAAGCCACATGTGGCCTGCGTGTCATCTAGTCAGTAACAGAAGAGCCAGTCCACGTAGCTTTGTAGAAGAGCAAGGCCTGGGAGCACAGATCTGAGTGCTCGGCTCAGCTCAGGGCTGGTGGAACAGCAGAGGCCAAGGGTGGAACCCTGTCCACGCTGAGGCCTCGTGGGAAAGGGACTCCTGCTCTTGTGTTTCCAGTGCTTGGCTCAGGGTGGGAACCCTACGTTTTGCTGGAAAAAATGATATGGGAGGAAGGGATTACTCGGTGAAGCCAAACCACCTGAGACCTCTTATGAGAAAAAAATCAGGGTGAACGCAGGCCAAGTTGACTTTCCTTCAGTTCGCTTTATTAGGGGTCATGGTGTTGGAGCTTACGGGAGAATCACTGCCTCCCCTAGTGAGTTGCTGTGCCTGGAAGCAGCCAAGGGTG